CCCTGTCGGGAAGGATTGTTCACTGCCACAATATGATCTTTCAACTACTCATATCCAGTAAGCACATCATCAGTTGGAGATTTGGTCGAGTCTGTACCCCCTCCCCTCTCTATCAGGGACCAAATACGAGCCCCCCCCTTGGGGAATCTCCAACAACGATGTGCCCTGATGGTCCTTGTGGCTATTTTCCTTCTCTTTCGCTTCTCACACTGCCTTTTCAGGTCACTACTGCGTTGAACGCCGTTGACGACGAGGCGTCTGCTGCTGGTGTGCCTTGGTGGCTGTACCTCCTCGCAATTCTGATCGGTCTCGTGTTGCTCGCTCTGCTCATTCTCCTCTTGTGGAGGGTAAGTTCGCCAAACACCCCCAAAGACGACCATTCAAAACTTAACCTCGTTATTTTAGTGTGGTTTCTTCAAAAGAAATCGCCCACACGCGGAGAAGGCTGAACGTAAAGAGAATCGAGATGTCGACGGTCACTATGCGGACACAAAAACACGCTATGCCGGTCCGGACAGCTATAACCCACAAAGTCATGGCCAAATGCTTTAACTCAGTGATGTTCACAGAGATTCGCCCATGTATTTCAGAGTCAGCATTTATTTTGTAAATACTGTAGTAGTCAACAAGATTGTAGATTCATACAGAGTTATACCAATCAAACATCCCCCCAATTCCCACCAAACCCGAAACTTCCCAGTTTCGGGCCTAATCTCCCTGTTACCCCACGACCGACTTCTTCTAATTTAAAGCTTAGGACGTGTTGATTTTGACAATGACGATTTCGTCTGTGTATTCATCTTCTTGCCTACGTCTTCAGCTTGCACAAATGTACTGTCATGAGATGACAATATATTTGCGCAAGACTTTCTCATGTGATATTAGATGTTTTCGTTAATCATTTCTTTAATCATTTCTCTATGATGATGTTCTTTCCATCTACCTTGTTTCTTAGGTACCAGTGAAAAGCTCGAAGTGGGCTCAGCTCTCCTTAGGCAGAGCTCACTAGTAGTACTGCCATCTTTCACGAGCAGCATGACAGCATGACCCCCCATGATGCCTCAAGTGCCTTAGAAGTGTGCTAATCAACTTTCAATCATCGCTCAACTTTATTATCACAGTGCTTTAATGAACACATAGCCATGAAAATTTCGATGTGTTATTTTTTTATCATTGCTGTATTCGAGTGTTTTTAGCGTGAAATAAATAAGTAAAATATAGCAGCACATTATGAGCAAGAAAGCACATATACCCCATCAAAAATGAAATACCAATAAAATCACAAGCAAATACTGGTCAAATCTTAATAACCACCACCTTCCTAAGCCTTGGCTTGCGCGCTTGCCTTTTTCCGCTTCACCAACTCGACGAGTTCTTTCAATCGTTGTTGGCACTGTTCTTTCGACTTTGTCGGCACGGCGCTCGCAATTTTGTCCCATCTAGGAAAAACTGGCGTTTATTGTGAAATTATAAGTGGTGGACAGCTTGAAGAACCCACCGATCTTCGCATCCTTTAGGATACAGCTGCAGAGCCGCCTCCAGTTGCTTCTGTTCGAGCTGCGACCATTCGGAGATTAACTGGAACCGAGACATGAAGAATTTGTCAACCGTGATGGCAATACCATTTGAGCGACTCTATCAAGGTTTCCAAGACAAATTCTGCGATAATCGTATAGGTGGAGACCCTTAGCCCTTCTGCCTAAGTTGCTGAAGCGTCCCCTCTCTTTGACGCATTAGAAGGAGAGATGAACCGATGTGATACAAATCGCTACTTCCGAGTTTCGGCATCGCACGCACTAGCAGAACATTCTCCAGCTGGTTGTCCAGAGAGAAACAGACAGACAGAGAGACAGAGAGAGAGAGAATCGACGCGCAGGATCCTGCAACGTTGAGTAGATTGGGTCCTGCAGCGAATGCTGCGCACACCGCTCCGCTTGTGATGCCTCAATCGCCGCGATTTAGGATGTCATGATATACACCCGCATCAATGCAAAGGCAGAATGGTTATGACTCTTGCCCCATCCGATTATTGTATGTTCTTTATCGAATGCGATAGCAGCGTCTAGGAGTGGAAAGTATGGTGCGATAGGAGCAGCTGTCTGCTACCCTCCTATCGCCCCATACTCTCCATTCCTACACACCGCGATAGCACTTCAACTGCGCTTGGTGAAACGTCAGAAGTAAAAACTGTTGGAAAGTAAACGTCAATAAATCAAATGATTCATCGGTCACAACCAGAATTTTCTTATTCTTGAAAACCAGCCTGACATTAGAATGGATGACTCGAACGAATATTTCGTTGGACTTATGAAACACACAAGGAAAACTAGGCATATCGAAGAGGGAATGAAGAGAAGTATCACGGAAAAGAAAGCTTTGATCACAATAACTACCCAGCACCTAATATGAAGGCAAAAAAAATCAGAAAACCTTACAGAGAAGGGGGCGTTGTAATGGCAAGGACATGGACTGTGAAGTGATTTTCGCTGGTAAAGGAAGAATAAAGGAAGCGCTAGGGATAAGAATCTTCGAAATGACTTTATTTTGATGATTTTTTTGAACTAAAAAAACTCACCGCAGCAGCACTCGAGGTGTCAGACTGTTTTGTGCTGTCCATCACACTAGGTGATTGCTGGCCCATAGCTAGCTTTGCATACTCCTCCTAAAAAATGCTGAGCAAATAATTAAGGTGAACTCGGGCTTTCCTCGAAACCCTATTGAAACATTTTGAACATAACTAAAAAGTTACTTGTTTCATATGCTTCAACTTGCCCGCCATTACTGTAACATCGTGAGCACTTCGATTGAGCACTCGCGCCATGCATTCCCATCGATTCGGAGTGCCGAAAACAATCCACAAACTAGGAAAATTTCCCAAACAAATGATTTCCTTGTGAGTTGAGGGAGGTATAGATACCTGGCGGGAACTTCTCCGTGGATAAGCGCACCAGTTGATATAGTTCCTCGCTTGTCCATACCGCACCGCTGTGTTCTGGAAGGCTTGAGTGAGTTCTGACAAGATATTGCTAACATAAGAAAACGATCAGCCTAAGAAACAAGAGAATTTGTACTAAGAAAAAACTTGCTTTTGGTGGATTCTTCGTGTTCAGACATATATTTGGCGTACAATTCGGGATTGTTGGTGCTGACTGGTTTCAAATCAGTAGCCACCTCGTAAGTGAATTCTGGAGCTCGAGGAGCTGGGGCCGGCCTACGAGGTTCTACGACTTCTTCCTGAATATGACATGATCCTACTGCTTAAATATAGCAAACAGATTTCAGCTGTTGAATTCACAATGACTTATTTTACGGCAGCTGACGTTCTTGGCAGTTTGATGAAAACCCTTGTTTCCAAATAACCTTTGCACAAGCAGTGGCAGAAAACCCTAATTCGAATTTGCTGCTCAAAAACGATTCCCCCCCCCCCTCCTTTGGAGTACCTCGCTAAGCAATTACAGTTGTCATAATGAACGTTAAGTTTGCCCCGAAGTCGGAAAAAGGAGAGTCTAGTAATTTAATCGAGACGCGTAAAGGATCGAAGTGAATTATACATTACCTCTTCGATCTGTTCCTCGCGAGCCATGTACTCCTGAGCCAGCGAAACCAGTAACTGTAGAAGAAAAATAGCAAAAATTCAATGAAACGAATCCCCGCACACAACATTGGCGCTCATGGACATACCATGAAAGCTGCGCACGAGCCCTTGACCATGAGAAAAGGCAGTAGACCGTAGAATTGTGGACGATAGACCTCTAATGCTTCCTTCAGCTGCGTCGCCGAAACTTCAGGCTCTCCCTTCTTTTCGCGTTTTCTGGACTTCTTGAGATTCTGAATTCCATAAAATTTCTTCAATTAAAAAATTTCTTATCATATCGTAGAAATCAATAGGCTTAACGTAACTACTGGCAACACTCAATGTGCTCACCTGTGATAAAACCAAATATTTCTCATAGTAAGCTGCCCACATCATCAGGTAATGTGCAATGGTTGATACACCAACGAGTACAAGTATGGCCTCATACCACGCCAGTTTTCGCATTTTTCCTGAGAAATAAAACGCTATAGAAATGCAATATGTGATCCAACTGAAATGAGCAACCTGTAGTAATATATTGGTTGCCTCCAGTCAGGCAGGCCAAATTCCAGAACATTGTTGTACTTCTCTCTCAGTTCACTTGATTTCAGAACTTCGTATATGGAAACAATCTAAAAAAACCATACTATTAATACCATGCATAGTCAGGTAGGAAGAATAAGATTATTAAAGGTAATTATAAAAGAATAATTTGCTAGCAGTGTCCTGAAAACGATGCCTTTGCAAACAATGACTTTCAGTCTGCAGTGTGATTTCCCACTCCTTCAACGACAGTGAAAGGAACTTTTCAATCCATACCCGCAGCTTTACTAGTTTCATAGATCCGCTGCACTGCGGCAGCGTTCAGCAACGACAACCAGCGTCCGTCAGCGACCACCAGCGCTTCGAGCATCCCTCATCCGCCAACGACTGGGGAACTATTTATATCGATCTAGCGAACGCCAGCGTCCACCAGCATCTACCAACGTCGAGTGCAGAGAGTACGTGAAAGTAGGAGGGTAGCAGACTGCTGATGGAGTATGGGGAAGTACATTAAATTGGCATAATTTTGCGTTAGCAGTCGCCGCGTGCGAATGCATGAGGGCGGCAATTTTTCCAGGCTGTGCTGGCCCCTGCCTACTTCCCCATACTCTCTCTGGACCTGGTGGACGCTGCCTAAAAGTATGAACGGGCCTTATAAAATGTGAGGAATTCGGAGTACTTCTTTTCTGCTCTGTCGATACAAAGATCAAATCAAAAATTTAGCATTGAAAGCTGTCCTTGCGTAGTTTGACAGAGCGAAAAACCTACAAGAACGAATTTGAAACATCTTATCGCTCATAGGGCAAATTCTTGTTCATTAAAATGATAATGCATTGATCTTAAACTATGAGATTCACAATGAATGATAAATGGTTGAAGAGCCTAACTAGGGAAGGTCGTCAGGTCGAAGTGGCCATTTGTAATGAGATGTAGCTCACTAGACGTGGTTTTGGGCGCTAATCACGAAACTGCCTTTTGAAATTTGCAAAGCGATTCTCTGAACGGAGTTATGGAGCTTTTCCCTCCGCGTTTACCACGCAACAGGTCATGGGATCGGATCCCTGCTGAGCTTAACTTTTTTCTTCCAGCGCAAACGTGACAGAAAAGTGGTTGTGGCATCGCTTCCACATTGGCGCTGTCCTTGACTTCCCTAAAAACAGTTTGCGTTCGCTTACTGGCGCGCTTAGTGCATCATGATCTAGGAGAATTTTAGGATGTACAGGTGCCCTTGGCGCGCAGTGCAGACGTTTTCGCGCTGAGCGAGTGCCATATTCGTATTTATGGGGGCGAACTACGCCTAGGTAGAGGTTTCTAGCCAAATCTGGCATTTTGACCTGACTTCGAAAAGTGAAGCATCCATGGGTTAGTATGATGTTCACACCTATTCGGGCTGCAGATACACTCCTCATCATTACGGACTGTCGGGGCGTATCAGCCAGAAGGAGTGCGCACACTGTTTGAAGCCGTTCTCAGCCTTTTCTTTGAAGCGCGTATGCGACAAAAAGTGGTAGAAAACGAGTAATACGAAGGATATAATGCTGTTATGTCATTTGATCGCTTCAACAACTGGTGCAGAAAGACTTTGGAACCGCGGAAAACGCAGCCTCACTGACCCGCCGTCCCGACCACTCCGTACATGATGATGAGTATACATTCCGCCGGCAGTCGAAAAGCGCTCCTCTTGCCCCTTCTTACGCATTCATTTTGTTACTGCTTCAGTTTTCCTAATATCTGGAAGCAAATTCTTTCCAAAGACAAGCAATCGACAGCTGGCCCTGGAACTATTGGTGACCATCATTCGATCAACTGCTACCGCACTTTTCATAGTTAGGTCAAAACCTCACTTCTGGCTAGAAACTTGTCTCCAAGGGTAGTTTTGCTCCCTGAACACGAATATGGCACCCATTTGGCGTTTGAGTGTTTTCTAGACTTAAAAGAGACATTCCCCACAAAATGCAAAACAAGTCCCCTTCTAAGAAATTCCGAACCCTTCATAGCATGCCCGCGAAGCAAGACCTTACGCACTGCCGCCATGCCGCCGTTAACCCGTAAGGGTTTTCTTTCCCGGCAATTCATGCGACTGGCTGAACCGCAGCTCGACCTCGTTTTTTCTTCTTTTGATTCTAATAAGCTCATAATTCCTCCAAGAGAATCGCTTTTGCAAATTTCCAAAGGCGGATTCGAGATCAGCGTCCAAAACCCACGTCTAGTGAGCTACATCTTATTACAAACGGCCACATTGACCTGACGACCTTCCCTAGTAAGAGAGCACCGCCCCTAACATATTTTCCCAGCTTTTCTCCTTCATTTGTTGATATTATGGGTAATGGATAGTACTAATTCCCGGTAGTGATGGAATGGTTGGAATTGGGTAGTAAACATTTGATCAGTGCTACTCTGATTCATTTTTATTATCGATTCAACAAGCAGTCAATTTGTTGCACAACAAATAAATAAAGAAAAAGAGACCACACCTGCCTAAACTTTTCGGAAGCATCAGGCGCACTATTCCTGTCGGGATGCCATTCAAGGCTCAGCCTTCGGTAGGCCTTTTTGACGTCCGTAATCGATGCATCCTACAATGGCAAGTGTAAAGAGAAATCAGTAGTGTTACCACACATATTCATGTCCGGACAACCTAACTGCAACACCTTTTTCCCTATTCTGTTCACGCCCAACTAGGGAAGTCCGCCAACTTACCATGGAAGTTTGGATGGAGACCTGGGTAGATCGATAGAGTCTACAAGGTTATTCACAAATATAGATAGCGTAACTGCAACCTGCATTTCACAAGCAACTTATGAGCAGGTAAAGTTTGTAAATGGTGCAGAAGGATGGAGGCCTTGGTGGTGAGCTGTAAGGCATAAGCGAGGGATCGCATACGTCGAATCAAGTCGTGGAGGTTCAGTGGTAAGGTTCGATGTTCGACGACCTGCGATTCGACCGTATGCGATTCCGTTTTATGCTTCGCATCCCTCTTACCCCCGCTCACCACCGACGTAGCCTCGCAGCGCCTACTAAAGCGGTTACAAATTTTACGCTGGGCTCATAAGTTGGCTTGTGAAATGCCAGGTTGCAGTTGCTATCTATATTTGTAAATAACCTTATAGACCTCTACTGATCTACCCATGTTTCCATTCAAAGTTCCATGGTAAGTTGGCGGACTTCCCTGGTTAGCGGCACTGTGGTTAGCAGTAAGTCTGCAAGTCGGTTGTAATGCGATGCAATTTGTCTCACATTCAGAACAGCCTTACACATGAAATCAATGTTAAATGTGCGTAGAAAAATCCTGGATTGTTCCTGGAAATAGCCTCCACGACTTCATCCGGAGAGTATGCAGTAGTTATGAAATCAGCGTCCAAAAGCGCACTAATCGGTATAAATACCACTTCGAGGCTTTCCACATTCGAGCTAATGATCCCCTTGTTACTCGCGCTTCCATTGCAATTACAAGGACTTACTAGGACCTGTTTCCAATAGATGGCGATGCGAAGAACTGACCTACTCGCGTAATTTTTCGCCTACGCATTGTCCTAACCAACCAATACACCCATGACGAGACGGTGAGCTCGGTCAGCCTGACCATGAGTGGAATCGGATAGGGTGTGATTAACGTATCGCTGAAGTCTGTGCGGACATCCCAGTTTTGCGTGGATTTTGGCGCAGCGTCAGCCCGTTCCTCGTCGATCGGGTTCGCTTTCGAACGCCCAATGAGTGGTTGGAATAAATGGAATGGCGTACACCAAAGCGACGCGATGGAACGCTGCTAACGCCTCGCCGACGTTCGGTGGGTAACGACTACATGTGTTGCGCTCCGCGATCGAGAATCGTTTCTGTTCAGAATATGTGAGGCTGGGGAAACAACGTTTGCCCACTACAATTAAACCGCAAAGCTACTGTTAAAGTTGCTTGGAGTTTCTTGAAAACCCTTCATCTGTGGAGCTGGGTTCAATTGTAACAGACTTATTGCATCTAAACAGTTCACTAAAGTTCTTACGTTTCATACTCTGTCATATCGCAGGCTGTCTTATGAACGAACACAACTTGCCAGACATTGCTCACTGTTGGCGTCACTAGCGTTTCGAGCGTCCGGCAGCGTCAAGCGACTGGGAAAGTACACATATCTACTTAGCGTCTACCAGCGTGTGGCAGCGCGCATCAGCGTCTTCTAGCGCACGAGAGAGTAGAGATGGCGCAATAGGAGGGTAACAGACAGCTGGTACCCTCCTTTCTTACGACACATTCACCCTCCTACCTCCCCTTACTCTACCAGCTCTCTGCTACCTTCCTATCACGTCATACTATCCTCTCCCGTACGCTAGGAGACGCTGGCAGCCCCTAGATCGCTGACGGACGCTTGTAACGGTAGTGAACGCTGCCGCAGAGTATGAACGCAGCCTATCGCTCCGTTCAACTTCGTCACAAGGCCGCATCCATACACAAAGATTACGCGGAATGCGGAAAAAAAGAATGCATACGTATCATCTGAAGAATCTTCAGATACCGCGGAGTCGGCGACTCTGCGCGAAATTGGTAGAATCGGCGAAATCGCCAAAGAAGACATCATAGGAACTGATTGTTAGCCCCCCGAGGAATTCTCGTAGTCTGCAGATTCTTCAAAACGATACATACGCATTCGTTTCCCGCAGATTCTGCGCATGCTGCGGAGTCTACAGTATCTGCGGCATCACTGAGGTGGGCGATCAACTTTCCCGACAAGTACGTATTTCATCCTCTGATTCTCTACGCTTGCAGACTGTGAACAATATGTTAGCGATGACATTAACTTAAAAAACAAGAACCAACCTTTGTGATACCAAAGAGATCGTAGAAATTACTGTTCACTTCTTCGACCAAATCGTATAGTGCTAACTCCTCCGCATTCCAAGATGGCGTGACACTCGAAAAAGAGGATAGCAGGACAGCCACATGAAGCGCGTTCACCATCTAAACTAAGACGACCCGTGCACAGTGTACGACGACTAAAAATCTTGGCGTAAATTACAGTGCATTGGTGTACTTACGGATTTCTGGCGTGATTGCTTCGTCTAATCACTGCTTGCTTTTATCGACTTCTTGCCAACCAGTTCCATGAGGCGAAACTGTTTGAACCTCAATTGGCGATGATGCTGGATGAGAATGGAGGTGGAATGGCTGGAAACGACCTCAGAACGCTCATCGAATCGCGCATTCCTGAGCATCGAGCGCATCTGGAAACTAGTCATCTGAATTTGGAAAACGTAGCCGCCTATTGTGAAGCCAACTATCTCAATTCTGTGGTGAGCATTTTCGACACCCATTCACATTTCTTTTTTGATTTATGCTTTTGGATTTGTTGGTATTTCCTCTCCGTACCACTTTCCTTGCAGTACCAAGAAACGCGCATCTTGTTTCGACTTCTTGCAAGTGTGCTTTAATTAGGATAAATTTCTAAATACGGAGCAGTCTTGTTTAGTCGTGATTCTTTCACTTGAGACTGCAAATTCAATCTAGCATATAAGCAGATTCATTGACTGATTCATGACAGAAACCACACAATATGCTGTGAAACTTAAAGAAAAAAGTGATAGAAAGTTTCAAACTGGAATTGTGGGCATCACCAGGCCTGCAGGACTCGGAAAATTCCTATCAAGCTCGAGCATAAATGCTTACTTTCTAGGACAGCTTCTGTCCCCTGGAAGCTAGTGCTTTTTTGGTTCAGAATTTCCAACCCACTTTGTCTTAATGAGCTCAGTCCTCATTACTTTCGAGAGAAACAGCAACTGTTAACCTGTATCAACTTCTTATTCGTTTCAAGATTCTGGCGTACATGAGGGGCGTTCTGACTCACCATCAGCATTATTTGCTTTCTATAACCATATGAAAGACCAAACATGGCTTCTTTTGTGCAGTATACCATTGAAATGAAAATGAGAAGGCAGATTAGGCCGCGTTCCTACTAAAATATTCCGAAAACCTGCGCAAAAAATGTATACCTATGGATGTAAAAAACTCGGAGATTCCAAAAGACTCCGAAAAAGCGCCGAACTCAAGATCTGGCATAACCGCAGAAGAAGACGTGAAAGAAGTCGACTGTTTAGCTCCACCCTATGTGTGTTTATTGAAATTCCACGGAAATTGCGAATTCTTCAAATCGATACGTATGCATTTTTTTCCACATTTTTTCCATCCGCATTCTGCAGATTCCGAGGAATCCTTATGTATAACGCGGCCTTACGCCTGTGTTTATAGAAGATAATGGCTCGTGTATGCTACTGAACTGGTGCCATGGAAATCTGGCAAAAGCAAGATGGCCCACAAAATTGAAAACTTCGATTAAGAAAGTGAAGTCATCAAATCTGTTATTTGAGCACAACGCGACTGTTTGTTTGGCGTCCTTTTGTATCGCAATCTTCTGGGGATGATAGTGGGGCTTTTGTAATCAAATGGCTCTCTTCGGTGATCCGAAGCGGCGAAGGATCTCTATGCATTCCGGGGACGTTATGCCTGACCTCCGGTTTGCAGGAACGTTGATGGATTTTTTGTTTGATGTTTCCGATCAAGTGCGCTTATTTTTATTTTGGAATTTTATTTTACTCCTTGTTCTTATTAGTTTCTGGCGGTCATTTTGTTGTGTAATGAATTTTGTTGGGGAACTCGCTATTACAGTAAGGATTTTGTGATCCACTTAGAATGTTGAGGTTTTTCCTTTGCGAATCCTAGTGCGAATTCGGGACACTTGGTATTCCTTCCATTCCTTACAGAAATTCTTCAGTCGGGCTTTAAAAATCCACACTGGCTCTGGCTAAGAACAGTTGTCTCCATAGCACTATTGTGGTTCACCAGTAGTATGACCTGTTTTCTGATGTTCCAGCCAATTTGTGCTCTTGATAGGAGAGCCTGTCGGCAGGAAGCAAATTGTTAAAGAGACAAAATACTGCGGTGAACCAGCATACCTCCTGGGTTTAATGCCCAGAAACTCGACTTTCTCAGATTTCCAGCTGCATAACAAAGGGAAACCAGTCATGGTTGCGGTCACAGCTTGCCGTTTCTTTGTGAACCTTCACTTTTCCAACTTGTTTTGTGATTTCCACGTTTCTTTCCAGGATCGAAATGCATCGTTTGAGGAAACGAAACAGTTCGCTTTGCAGTCCCTTGCCAGTGTGGCTTATCAAATCAATACCCTTGCAAGGTAAGCAGCATAACAATACATCAGCAGTCACGACACTTAACATTTCTTCAGAGACCTACTTGACATGTTGGATTTACAGACCGATAAAATCACAAATCTCAGCGGTCAAGTAGAAAATATTGATGTGGTAAGCATTCCGGAAGTCTTTATCGGCATTTTCTTTTGCTTTCTTCCCAGCCGTTCCTCTTATTACTGGCAGAAGCTAGAGTGCATTCATACTTTGCTTGGGCGTTTCGAGCGTACGACAGAGTTTTGAGACTAGGAAAATACAGGTATCGATCTGGATACTTTGCTATTGCTCAAAACGCTGGCTCATGCTCAAAAGCGTGAAAACGCTGCCGTGCTAATGCTGGCGCTAATTATGAACACTCTTATATCCTTTCTAAGTGTATGAGTTTCGATGAAATCGCATGTCTTTAGGTTGTTAATATCCACAAAGAAAAGCTTGCTCGGAGAGAAATCGGCGCCTTAACTACGAACAAAACCACTCAGAAACAACCAAAAATAATTGCACCCGCAGCTCAGGTAGGTGAATTTGAATTCGGTGGCAGTTGCTCATCGTTCCTAATTCACCATTATCCTCGCAGGAACCACCACAGCGATATAGACGTGCGCCGATAGACTTTTCTGTTTTGGACGGAATAGGTCATGGTGTTCGTTGCGAGGTTCGTTTTAATTCTGTTCGTAATTCTTCTTGAGTGAAAGTGTTTGTTTGGAGGTGCCCCAACATCGTAGTGCCCTGGTCTCTCGAGCCGCTTCGAGTGTTTCTGGATCACAGCCATATTCAATGCATTACGTTCAGTATGAACGCACCGCTAACATTGGTACCAATACGGTTGGTTTTTCACCAGTTTTTACCAATAAAAATAAGCGAGGAAGTATTCTTGTTTTTACGCCACTGTAGTTGAAGGGGTCGCACAGAGAAACTACGCGCGCACACTGCTCTTCTGTTACTCGGCAGCGGAGCTGAGCTACGTCTTAGCCCTTAACTCTCCTCAATATATTTCGTGTGCAGTTTTTCAAAATAGTCAGCAATTTTACATTTTCAGTAGTTTTTCTGGTAGTCGGCGCTCTTCTAATTCTGAGCCTGATAAGAGAAGGGATCATCGTCTGCGCGAGATCCTTCAGAGCGCTTGGTTACATAACCGCGTGGCCCCTTTCAACTAGAGTAGCGCCCTTGTTTTATTTTTCTTTATATTATGCTTAAAAATTGTTTCAGTATTTGATTCACATTTACTTTCTTCATGGAAGCATCTGCTTTATCTCTACTTTGTTACATTTTAATACTTAACGCATGCTTCAGTTGGGTCGTTCGTCGATGCGCAGTGGCCACCTGAGCATGAACGCACCGGAGCAGTATAGGGTCCCACTGGTGAGTTTCGACCCAGTTTTGTCAATTTGTTTAGCATTGTGATGTTTTTATTAGGTAATGCCATTAATGGACAACCAGCGATACGTATCAATGGGTAATGCTTCTCAACATCAATCCGTGTCGGAATTCGGTCAAATTGGTGGAAGAGGAGTGAGCGACGGTAGTGTTTTGTCAGACGGAGCGTCCGAAATAGGAAGGATCAGTATGCCAGATAGATATGGTAAGAAACATGGATACTCTTAGTTTTGGGGGACGGACTTTAGGACCACGTGACGTCGCGTGTGCGGCAATCTGCAAACATCGCGTGCCTGAGTGGAGCGCACGGCTTGCGATAATCTACCATGTCACTGCGTCATTGAATTAGTGTCCGCTTCTTTTCAGCCATGCTCTTCACTCTGGCAGGACCTGGATTGTCATGACCGCTAGGTTTTGTTTTAATTGCATATTAAGATTGATTACATTACAGTAAAGCGCAGAAACCTGCACAGATTCTGTTCGCGAGTTAATTTAGCTTACTAGATGATCACCTAATTATTTGACACTCACAACGCTTTCTGGACAGCATACTCCGAGGTACGGCGGACTCTTATTGATGGCCGCGAAATGTCGCTGTCGCGATAAATGGTAAACCATCGCGAGCGCGCATCCGTAACCACATGGTATTTGCGGTTTGTCGGCGCGGCGAAGCTTGGTTCTACCGTCACATACACTTGTAGCACAGCCTTCCTGTTAATTACTACGAATTCGATGGCAGTTTCTCTATGCCGAGTATGACCGATAATGCTCTGATCATCCACCATTTACTCTAGATGGAGTGCAAGTATGCCCCATTGAGCACTACCGCTGCTTTTGCAATTAGATGAATGCAGTAGAACTTCTCAGCCTTTCACCTTCACTCAGTCTGAGAATAATGGGCATATCTCAAAGGCAGCGAACCTGGAAATCCGTTCGTGCTCATCGTAGATGGAAATTAACAGTATTAAATCAGTGTTTTTCACATCCTTCCCCTTATTTTGACAGTTGCATAAGCAATAATGAAACGTATCCATTGAACGCCATTTATTATTGCTTAGATCTCAGTGCTCGTTTCTCAGATTGTCTGCCCCCCGTCTGCAGGTTTTTTCCAACAAAATGCACTGGTCGTACTTCGTTGATAATATATTTTTATTGCTCGAATTAAGTTGTTTACATGAGTGTTCCTTTGGTGTTCAACATTGAAGGGGGGGGGGTCCCGCGAAATATGAGGGAAAGTTGGAAACTGTTCTACCAATAGAATACACTGTTCATCGACGTTTTTAGGAACGCTGAGACTTCATCAAGCTCGCGGTGAAAGTGGCAGTGGTATCAATGATGAAAGGGCTGAATCACCAGGATTTCCTTTGCCTCCTCCTCAGCTTAGTTCACATTATGGCTACGCTGGTTTCACGAAGTCAGACGGTTAGCATATTTAATGCAATTTTTTTCTGTTCCCCTGAGCTTCTAGTCTGCCGTGTTCGCGAGAACTCACGTAGTTTTTGTTTCCAGACCTTCCTCCTCCAGCAATGCAAATGCTCAATTCAACTCATGAGGATGAGCCAATGCCTCCTCCTCCACATTCTCAAGCCAATTTCTTCGACGCTCACGCTGATTGGGTGCCTCGTAACTACATAGAAAAAGGTGTGTTTGCACAGCAACTCCATCAAATTTCCCGCTTTTTGCGAGCAGTATCGCTCAACGCGACTCGAACAGGGGGACTTTCCCGACCAAGTTAAGTAAGAAGTACAGAATTCACCAACTGAATATCAGTAGTGATTCCGCATTTGTTACGGCACCGATGATCGAACTGCCATGTCCCAAATTCAGTTTTATACCGCGGTTTTGGTTTTTTCACCACTAGGTGGTATCACTCCCGGCTGACACGAGGAAACGATTAGTGAGCCAGAGGCAGCAGGATGTCGCTTTGCTGGCCTAAAACGGGCAGTTCCCGAAAACTCATCCATGGAGGCTGCCAGGTCCTTGGGGTATTCTCCATGACTTTTTTCGGTTATTTGTTTCCTTGAAGAGCGATTTAGCGACTAGCTTCGTAATTTAAGCGATTAGCTTTGTAATTTAACGGCATCCGCCATAACTATCCACAATATACAATCGCGATATTTGTCTTCAACTGGATTTTACATTTTTAGATTACTTCATTGCTTCTGTTCATTCCCTACTAATAATAACAGCTTAACGCAGCCTCAATTTCAGCCGTGGCTCTATACGATTACGACGCGGACAAACCGGATGAGTTATCGTTGCGGGAGAACTGCATCGTTTATGTGCTGAGGAAAAACGATGACGGATGGTTTGAAGGCGTATTGGATGGAGTGACGGGACTTTTTCCTGGTAACTATGTCCAACCGGTTTAATTCTTCTCATTTTTGTCATTTGTTTGTCATTCAGTTGCATTCTGAGACATACTTGTCATTCCACCCGTCATCGAGCACAGCATCGATTTTCACGGGTTCACAGTTTTTTTTTGCAGTTTTTGGATAAGCTTTCATGTTATCACTGATTTATTTAGAACCATCTTCAAATTATAAATACACAAATGGTCACATTTTACTAATAAACTTTAAACATGAGACTTTTTATTCCATGGCTGAACATATCGCTGATGAGGGTGATTGTGAAAGCACGTCTTTGAGAGGTCGAACATACGCTGAGTCACTTTGGCATTCGTCAGCACCATCGGACAAATACCCGCTGAATGAGAACTGATCACCATGGATAGAGCTCTTAGGCTGCATTTATATTATTCTTTGCGACAGCGCCCGAAACGCCTGAGCGGCCTGAATGAGAAGTATAGGTATCGATCTAGCGTCTGCCAGCCTGCACTGGCGTTTACCAGCGTCCGGGAGAGGAGGGCATGGCGCGATAGGAAGGTAGCAGACTGCTGGTAGAGAGTATGGCGCGATAGGAGAGTACCAGCTGTCTGCTACCCTCCTATCGCGCCATACTCTCCTCTCCCGGACGCTGGCAGACGCTGGTAGACGCTAGATCGATATCTATGCTTTCCCAGTCGCTGACGCTGCCGGACGCTCGAAACGCTAGTGGACGCTGCCGCAAAGTATGAACGCAGCCTCAAGTAGAATAGCATAAAACTTACTATATGGACCGATTCCTGAGTTTTTTCTTTCTTCTTTTCAAGCGAATCGCATCGTTTTTATTCAGTTTATCTTTTTCCGGACTAGACGCTGATACAGTAATCTGACTGGTTACCGAACTATCTCATTCACTTATGGTTTTAGCGCAGTACGACTCTGCTTTTACCCTTTGATGGCAAGTCCATAACACTGATGATGTCTGAAAAATGCTTCACCTAGCTTCCGTTCTAAAGGAGATCGTCCACGGGCACTTATGTCGGATCTAAAAGACCAATAAAAGAAAAGACAGGTGATGGATGTACTGCAGATCTTCCTTGTGTCCGAAGTAAAAGGATTAAAGTCTTCACCATTTGATCCATCGCCAGCTTGTGGATGCGGCACGCATTCTCCTCTCCATCAGAATCGCACCATGGCTTATTTCATTCGATGTGGCCTACGAATGGCTTATCAGGGCAAGCCGATATACAGGTCAGTGTTCTCATCCTTCCAGACTAATGTGGTACTAGTTTACCGTCCCCGGAGAATAGTAATGTTTATGGCCTGGCCTAGTCAGAGAGCCGATCTGGGATTTTGGACCGTAGGAACCGCGGCGAGTAGGTGAGCGCAGCCGACACCTACCTCCGCCTCGGTGCCCAAAATAAAACAGTTGTATATTATTGAATGCATCGGGACTGCCTGCCCTTCCGTACCGCGAACGTCATGACAGATATCGCTTGGATATCTGGCCTCTGGTTTAGCCAACGCACAAGCTTACTGACCGTTCTGAGGTCGGCTACTTAGAAAAAAGGACACTTTATTACAGAGAAATGGGTGGAGCGTGGCTAAATTATGTTTTTTTTCATTCTATAAGTGATTGCACCAACGCTCCACGATGTTGTTCCCAGTTCGTGATGTTCCTGTTAAGGCCGTCCTTGTGCTGAGGGTGCTGTGCGAGACTGTAAGGCAGACATCCCGTCGTCCATTCTGTCTTCCTTTTGAACTCTATGAGAACATCTCCCCTAACACGACTGAGCGTAGTCTGCAGGACTTTGCCAGAGCGGGGTGCACTTAGTCCATGAATAAGAGTTTATCTGGAGCACACTGTCAGGTGTGTAGGGGAAAATGGTTTACGATCACTCAACTTCAGCCGCTGGCCTGCGGTTCAAATTCTTGCGCCGTCGACCGCTCTCGCCAAGGATAACCAAACCTTCTATCCGGGACGGTGAATTGGTACCAGATTCGAGAGGATAAAACACTGACTTGTACATCGGCTGGCCACCGCAAGTCATTGTATAGGCCACATCGCATTCAATAAGCCACTACGATTCTGAATGGAAGTAGAATGCGTGCCGCATCCCACAAAGGGATTGATCAACGGCGAAGACTTTATCCTTTATTTATCCCTTATGCTCTTTGGAATCAGCAAGGATTATTTCCGCATGAGACGCAGTTGAGGTTTCATCAGAGGCTTCTATGCAACGGGAGTTGAATCAACGTTAAACGAACGGAGAGCTTTCCGAAAATCCCTCAGCCTGTAAACGCTTAACGATTTGAGCTGTTAAGCCACATGACCCTTGCTTTCATTCTCTTAGGCAGCGTTTAGACTTGTCGCGCTTCTAACGCGCGCTGCTGCCCTTGAACACGCTACAATTACACTCCAATTGTACCAGACCCCAGCTTCCCTTTATGTTCTTTCTTCCGGTATTCAACCCCTTTTTCACTGTTTCTCATTTCTATCTGATTTTGACGTTTTCGACTATGAGTTTTTCTGAAACCTATTCAAAATCATTATCACAGTGTCCTGTATCAAAACCACATTGAAATTCAATGTTAAATGAAAAAGAGGAGCTAAGAATCAGGTAGAAATGAGAAACAGTGAAAAAGGGGTTGAATACCGGAAGAAAGAACATAAAGGGAAGCTGGGGTCTGGTACAATTGGAGTGTAATTGTAGCGTGTTCAAGGGCAGCAGCGCGCGTTGAAGCGCGACAATCGACGCGCGTTGAAGCGCGACAAGTCTGAATGCTGCCTTAGCCGACCCCAAGAAAGTGTCAGAACGGGAGAACGCAAGCAGGGAGTTTCTAGAGGAATCTCACTTCCGAGATTCTAATTTCGATTCTTGAAGTGTTCGCGAGAACGGCAAATACTGCAATGATTGACAGGACCTGAGATGAGTACCGTTGACTTCGTCGCAATCAAGCGGGGCGTTGTTAGAAGGCATGAAACGAAACCACCCGCGCGTTTCCTACCACTCGTTGTTTTTTTTGCCAAATCGATCAGTGGTTGGTAACTATTGGTAGAAATCGTAGTAGGGGGAGCCCACTCCACGCCTCCCGTCACAGCCCTTTAATTTAGACAACTCTGCTAGCGGCCGTACGCACACAGCAGTAACGACACGTCCGACCCGTGGGAGACAATCACTTTGAAACTGATTTTCTTAAAGGCAATTCCGCGATAAAATAAGGCTATGACCTCTCAAATGTGTCGGACGATCCGGAAGGCGATTTTTGAGGCTGCGCTACTTTCAAAATGTGAAAAACGGCAAGAACTCCGCTAGAAGCTGGCTAATTAGGGGCCCATGACAACCCCCTCAGGCCCATACGCGAACCCCTAAACCGGCTGCTTAACTACTAGCTAGGTAGCCACTATGTTACTTTTCATAACATTTCGACTGCTTTTTTCTGCTGGCTTTTCGCCGCTAGATCAGATTATCTTATGCAAAGCTTTATTTGGTGCTATTTGGAGTTTCGCGCTTTATCCCGGGCAATTTGCCGTTGCGAAACTGTGCCTGTTAACACAAGCTGCTGTTTGCTAGAAATCTAATGGGCAAAATCCAGTGTCAATTCCTGTAAATCCTACATAGACATCCTCCCTATCGTAATTTTGAAGTGAAAGAAAAGGCAGTGTAAAATAAAAGTTTCACGCTAATGAACCAACAGCGGATCGGACACCTACCATGAAACGGCGGAGTATGTACGTCAGCACGAGATTTACTGATAATTGAATCGAGCCTGTTACTAATAAAGTCGGACAGTCGGATTTACTGAACAGACAGAAAGCTGATGCGCGAATGTCCTCTCTGGAAAGCATGACCTTGCCTCCAAGTGCAGCCAAAGGGTGGGTGGAACTTCACTCTCACCTGTAGCTCCAACTCTCATCTCGGGAATACCACGAAGATCGGAAATACAGTTCAGTTCTATTCTGTTTAGTTCACCTAGAGTATTCCAAGCTTCTTTCGACAACGCATAAGACTGGTGAGAAGACAAGATTTCCATGAGGTCGGAGCCATTGGTGATCTGAAATGTTACGATTCGAGATTGTAAGGGAGTGAGCAAAGTACAGCTAGTTCTGAATACTTAGAAAAAAGGTAACAGTAACGGAATTCATTTCACTCAGAGTAGAGCATCGTTGGGAGAATCCCGTTGGGGGTTGTATAGTATTGTACGATGGGGATGATGTCATGGGTTTGGCGTGGCGTAAGCCTGTTTTACCATTTTTCTTGTGCCAATTGTGTTGCTTAGCCGGCAGCGTCCACCAGCGTCTACCAGCGTCCACCAGCGAGAACTAGCATCTGAGCTTCCGTCAGAGTCAGCGACTAGGAAAGTATAGATATTAATTTAGCTCTGCCAGCGTTCACCAGCGACCGCGAGTAGAGAGTATGGTGAAGTAGGGGGGCAAACAGCTGGACTAGGCGCTGTCAAATTGAGCTGCACCGTAGAACTGCTAAAGAACAGAATTAATGTACAATGTAGTGTAGTTTTAAGTTGCACCCGCCGCAAATTACGACACCTAATCGAGCTGTTTGCTACCCTCCTACTTCTCCATTTCTCTACTTCCGGTCGCTGACGAACGCTGGTGGACGCTGGTAGAAGCTGGCAGGCGCTAGATCGACACCTATACTTCCCAAGCCATCGCTGGCTGGTGGACGCTGCCGCAAAGTATGAATGCAGCCTTACCCGCTTCTACAACTGGTGCTGAACGGGCTGGCGATGCGCCGAACCCAGCCTCACTGACACGCCCCATCTTCCGAGGCGAGCAGGACGGTATTTGGGCTCTGACAGAATTCCTCTCGGTGCGTTAGTGAAATTGTTCCTGTTGATTTACCCGCGCTGCCCTCCCCCCTTCCCCTGACCCCCCCCCCCCCCTTGCCTCACCTCTCCAAACCTTCACAGTGCTAGGGAAAATAGCAGGAAGTTGGAAGAATCTGGTAAGCTGTTAGGTAGGTTGTGAGGGAGGGGGGAC